CGGGGGGGGGACCCCTCTGCCCTCCCCCCTTTGGCTCCGCCACTGGACCTTTCAGCAATAAACATTCGGGGTGCCAGATCTTATATTACAACGTATTTGATGCATGATACATCATAACATGTGCTGAAGCTTGATTTATTAAAGTGTTGTCATTATTTAATTTCAAATGAATATTTAATATAAAATATATTATTTCTATAATGATCATCATAACGAAGAATCATGTCTGATAATCTGCATTGACACATCGATTTATCGTTTGATCGGATGTGTCATTCATCGAATGCCACAGCGCACATCAATCAAGTCCTATGGTCCACGAATTCCAAGAATAGAGGTTTGAATGAGACCACGCCATTCTCCAGAGTTTGGAAATGATCCATATGTATATTTTGTATAAAATATAAGTAATGGAATAATATTTTTGAAATCAGTCAACTTACTTGGCGTTTACTGATGTAAATTGGCTTGTTAAAAATGATCCATGTAACAGTTTCAAAACATCCAGGAGAAGTTAACGACCCATCATATGTAATGAAATAGTCTGTTGGAGGCAATAATCTAGATAAATAAAACTCTTTAATTCTACTCTTATCACCTAGAAAATAGTAATGACGTCATGTAATGTAATAATCTAGATGAATATAGCACTTGTATTCTACTCTTATCACCTAGAGAATAGTAATGACGACATGTAATGTAATAATCTAGATAAATAAAACTCTTTTATTCTACTCTTATCACATAGAAAATAGTAATGACGTCATATAATGTAATGATCTAGATAAATAAAACACTTATTCTACTCTTATCACCTAAAATATAGTACTGACGTCATGTAATGTAATAATCTAGATAAATAAAACTCTTTTATTCTACTCTTATCACCCAGAAAATAGTACTGACGTCATGTAATGTAATAATCTAGATAAATAAAACTCTTTTATTCTACTCTTATCACCTAGAATATTGTAATGACGTCATGTAATGTAATAATCTAGATGAATATAGCTCTTTTATTCTACTCTTATCACCTAGAATATAGTACTGACGTCATGTAATGTAATAATCTAGATAAATAAAACTCTTTTATTCTACTCTTATCACCTATAAAATAGTAATGACGTCATGTAATGTAATAATCTAGATAAATAAAACTCTTATTCTTCTCTTATCACCTAGAATATAGTGATGACGTAATGTAATAATCTAGATGAATAAAACTCTTTTAATCTACTCTTATCACCTAGAAAATAGTAATGACGTCATGTAATGTAATAATCTAGATAGCGCTTTTATTCTATTATTATCACCTAAAGAATAGTAATGACGTCGTGTAATGTAATAATCTAGATAAATAAAACTCTTTTATTCTACTCAGATCACCTAGAAAATAGTAATGACGTCATGTAATGTAATAACATACAAATAGCTTTCACTACTTTTTACATTTGTATAACATTTCGTATTACTGGACAATTATAATGTAAAGCGTGAATATAACCCGATAACAACCCATTTTTTTAAATCTCCGACCAAGACCGTTCTTATGCCTGCACCTTAACCTATTTGAAGATTAAGAATTTCTTAATATACCTTTATATTTTGTGTTGCTCATGGCTTTAACTAAAATTTGAAATTCACCATGACTAACATCGGCTATCTGAAAATAAAAGAAGTTCCGGTTAATACACGCCCGTGGCAATCAAGTCCAAGGTACTTCACTTGTTTATTTATGTTGGCTTCTTTTGCGATAAGTTTCCTTTTTACCGTGTTAGATATATATATATTCATAATATACATGTAGATAGTAAGATGAATGATCAACCAAATATAGAAAGGCCCGATTGAGATTCTGTAGACCTTAATACCAATTAAAATCTGTTCATATTAAAGGTTATCAGTAAACTAAGTTCTGATATATTTCTCTATGTCTATAATCAAACTGAAGGATATATTTATCACCATTCATTGATGGAATATTGTAACTGGCAGGAGTCAATTATTTGGCTTCAGTTTAAAACTTCAATCTCTAAACAACCAAATTCAACAATATCTCTGGGTGAATAGATTTTTCCACTATTTAAAAAGGTAAATAGTCCACAATGTCATATTCGGTTAAGCATGCCATGTAATGTTACATTTTTAGCCCAATGACTACTCATTAGTTTTAAATTGATAGATAAGCTACGGACAAGAGATTTGGACACAAACTAGAAAGGATTTTCTTGTTATTCTTGTAAAATGTGGATCCTTCTTATGTTATCCCTTTCAGGAGAGTGGAAAATATCCCCTACCGACGATTTGGACTAGATTCCTTTCACTGATTGTGATTGAAAAGTGAGAAAGATTTTGTAATGGTTATAAATAATTACCTGAGCGAATAATGCTATTATTAAAACTCCCCTGGGAGAATTCTCCGCTTCTCTAATGTCTTCATATAGATCGGAGTTATAAGCCAAGATATGTATCTGAAATATAACAATAAATCATCTTCAATAATTCACATTCTAGTATATCATAAAGGGATCTAGTCGTCCTTACACGCTAATTTTCATTATTTAATAGCGATATTTCTGGACAGAGAAATGTTAATACATTCAACAGTACAAATTTCAAAGGTACGTTTTTGCTGAATTGTAGTGGAAACGGACGTCGTGTTTTAACTGCAAAAAGTGAAACGGGGGGCTTTTACCAGTAAAAGTGCTTAAGTAATTAATTTCACTACCCAAAAGGATAAATGGAAAATAGATGAGAAGGGATAGTAATCTATTTTTCTTTAAAAGGTTTTACATACAGTTTCATTTTGCATATTATTTCAAATTCTCATGACTCGAAATGCACAATGCAATCCAATTTACAAGGCGTGCGTATTAATAATACATGCGATGCCATTAACTATAGATTATAAAAATATAAAAATAATACAGTTCAATAAATAATACACTAGGGTATCACTATCATTGTTAAATCATATAATACTAATTACAGATACCGACTGATAACTTTAATATGTCATAGTAATGTCAATTGATACATATCACTGAATAGATACATCATTTTGATACACAATCATGTTAATCAAATTTCATGCGTATACTATGTAGAGAGTTTTAAGTTGAGCATTCAGGTGACAAAAAAAAAACGTCGAGTTTGCCAAGTACGCTTCTGTGAACCATAGAGCATATTGGAATTCTTGACATCGGTGCGTGGTTTTCAACTTGAATGAATTATCATTTGTTACAAACATCACTAGAATTGGGAAGGAGTCTAAAATTTTAATATCTTTATTCTTTGGATTCGCCTTTTCCCAAGAATAGTAACATATCTTGGTGCAAATGAACAGAAGCAAATAAGGTCTTTATTTCTTTATTCTATCTGAAAAGCCACTTTTATCCGATGTCTTTAACTTTGTCATACGAATGGAAGCCAAACGCCTTAGCTGAAGCACATTAATCTTAACGCCAGATTTTCAGCGAATTAACTTTTCATTTAAAAAATCTCTGTTTATCTTCAATCAGAAAAATTCAGTCCAAGATTTAAACTCTAATCCACTCACCTCGGCAGGGAAGACTTTACCATTGATAGAATGTTCCGAACCATAACTATTATTGGTACCAAAATGAAGCTTTATCTCTTTGACTCTGTAATTATAGGATACCGGACCACCGGAGATATTAACCCCCTTCCATCGCAACTCTTCAATTTCGAAGGTAATATCGTGACCATTATTAACAAGGTAGCCAGTAAACTGTAAAGAAACAGAATGGAAGGAAATTACAAGGATGAATGTATTAGAGCTGTAGGCAAGAGGTTTAACAAGTGTTGACCACCATGTAATACCAACATCGTTATTATGTTTTACAGTCAGCGAAGCTTCATGAAAATGTCAAGCATGATTCCAAAAATTATTATTCTTCTTGGGTATACCAATCCTCGTGGTATTTAAATACTGATACGAAATTTATTGATGGGTATTTGCATAGGGATACATGAGTTGCTTACGATCCTACTTTTTCTTCCATGTAACGGTGCGAATAAAATATGTTTGGAAACCAATAGCTTTGGTCAATAATCAATTACACCATTTCATGTATAGGGTTGTTTCCAATTTCAAACAAGGATGTTTAATATATATCATAGTTTTATCAATATGTTGCCTGGATATATAATAATTGTTCATATTTATATTATAGGTTATAAAGTTTATTGTAATTCATTAAGCAGTATCTAGGGTACAATCTAGTCTCTAGAAACCTTCAAAATAAAACTTTTGTGCCTACCAATTCCACCTCCCGTTTGGCTTGCAACAGCACCGGTTTATGTCAAGAAAAGAGTAGTATAGGAAACGGGTGCTCTCTAACGAGAGCGATTATTTATTATTTGAAAGGCTGTGAAAAGATTTGTTCTCTTTTGGAAGCAATTCGATGGTCCTGAAAAGGATCTTTTATAGTGTTCTATCAGTAGGCTACCACTACCATGTTACATAAGAAACAGTTCATTTGCTATGACATTGGGTGTTTGAAGAACCATTCTTCTGGGTCTAGTCTCTTCTCCACATTCATCAATCCAATCTTTCAGTTCAACGATATCGTTACACTTCTGGTAAGAATGATGTTGGTATAGTTTCAGAGTGGTCTTGGTGGTTGTAATTTGTTGTTTCAAGAACAATTGATGCTGTTCTATTCCATTCTTCTCCGCTCGCCTTAATTTCAGCTGCAATTCTTTCAGCTTTGCATCCAGCTCTCGAATCTCCTCATCGGATCTCCTTAAACCATATTCAAATCTATGCAATATATCAGAACGTAAGTCGGAGGCGAATTGTTCCAAAGCTCTGTCCATTTTCTAACGATTAGTATAGGAGGGTATCTGTTGATCTTGGTGAATATACAATAGTTAATGATGGTATATCAAATTTCTCTACTAATATCTACAGTAAAAATGAGTTACAATAACGTTTTCTATCTATTCACAAATTAGTTATAGTAATAACATCTTTGAATATAGCTAATTAGCTAATTAATACAGGTGTTATTTTAAATATATCTACTTCTTGTGTTGAGTTTACCCTTTATTCTGGACTAACAAAAGCAAATAATATCGAACCATTGAAGGTTTAACCCAATCATTTAATAATTGTCTATCATTTCGCTAAATTAGTTTGTGTTTGAACAAGTTGTTTATTTAACAATTTATAGTTTTTATTTGAAATTAAAAACTTAATTGTGTTGTAATTTGATAATGCAAATAGACAGTTATAAAATTATTTTGGTTGACAAACCCTTGTAGTACTGAACAGGTGGAGATGTGTGGTAAATCAAATCTTGAATTTTATTACTATTATGAGTTATCTGACGTTACATTGTCATTTACGTCATCAACTTAAAAAATCTCATAACTCATTTATATCATTAATTTATTTATATCATTAAATTTCTATCTGTGATACATACCTTTCTGTGATATCAAATATATATTATATTTCTATAGTCCCCATTTGGATATTACAACTTTTTATATAACATTATATCTATATTCAATATATCATTATACTATTATGGTTAAACGATGATGATCTTCACCTGTATCTTTGTTAAATTTTTAACTATTCTTATCATTTTGAGAAAAGTACAGGTGATGATGGATATTAGCTAGTATATATGTTTAAGCTAGTATAACCACCAAACACTTGATCGGAGTGTGGGTGGGTCAATGGCTTAAAAAAATGAAATCTGATAAAAAAAAAAAATGATTAAGGTTACTGTCAGAAACATATCTTATCAACGAAGGTTAAACATTACATAACAATGTTAATTTCCTTGAGCCGCGAATTTTGAGCTACTCAGATGAAGATTTGGAGATTTGTTGTTCTTTCACACAATTATGTCCCTCGAGATTTGAAATTAGTTGTTCTTTCACACAGTTACCTCCCGTGTAATGTAAATTTGTTGCTGTATCAAAAAGTACCTGCTCGTGAAATGTAAATTTATTACTGTACCAAAATGTTCTTGCTATTTAAATGCAAATTTATTACTGTACCAAAATGTTCTTGCTATTGAAATGTAAATTTGTTGCTGTATCAAAATGTTCTTACTATTTAAATGCAAATTTGTTGCTGTATCAAAATGTTCTTGCTATTTAAATGTAAATTTGTTGCTGTATCAAAATGTTCTTGCTATTTAAATGTAAATTGGTTGCTGTATCAAAATGTTCCTGCTCTTGATGTGTAAATTTGTTGCTGTATCAAAATTTCCTGTTCTGAAATGTAAATTTATTACAGTATCAAAAAGTACCTGCTCTTGAAATGTAAATTTATTACTGTACCAAAATGTTCTTGCTATTTAAATGTAAATTTATTACGGTACCAAAATGTTCTTGCTATTGAAATGTAAATTTGTTGCTGTATCAAAATGTTCTTGCTATTCAAATGCAAATTTGTTGCTGTATCAAAATGTTCTTGCTATTTAAATGTAAATTTATTACTGTACCAAAATCTTCTTGCTCTTGAAATGTAATTTGTTGCTGTATCAAAATGTTCTTGCTATTTAAATGTAAATTTATTACTGTACCAAAATCTTCTTGCTCTTGAAATGTAATTTGTTGCTGTATCAAAATCTTCTTGCTATTTAAATGTAAATTTATTACTGTACCAAAATCTTCTTGCTCTTGAAATGTAATTTGTTGCTTTATCAAAATGTTCTTGCTATTTAAATGTAAATTTGTTGCAGTATCAAAATCTTCTTGCTCTTGAAATGTAATTTGTTGCTGTATCAAAATGTTCTTGCTATTCAAATGCAAATTTGTTGCTGTATCAAAATGTTCTTGCTATTTAAATGTAAATTTGTTGCTGTATCAAAAAGTACAACTCTTGAAATGTAAATTTATTACTGTACCAAAATGTTCTTGCTATTTAAATGTAAATTTATTACTGTACCAAAATCTTCTTGCTCTTGAAATGTAATTTGTTGCTTTATCAAAATGTTCTTGCTTTTTAAATGTAAATTGGTTGCTCTTTCACAAACTCATTTATCATGAACCCTGAGTTCACGAGATAGTGAACATGGGACCACTTAAACGGTTTCAAAATATAAATAGATTTTGAATTATGACTGATATCGTGTTGTTGGAGTTTCAACATTTCTAAACTGGCGAAATTACTGCATCAGGGAAAAAAAAGCTATCTGGAAATGTTCTCAGTAAAACATTTTAGATTGTTGCATTATAAGAAATAAAAATCCATAATACAATAAGAGCTATAACATTGAGTTTATTTTAATACATTTATTGAGAAGATTAGATGGTCTAAAAGATTTGTTTCTACACGGCTTAACACATTGTCTCTCGGCACCATTCTATTTTCATTTTTTTCCTTCAATTGAATATCTCTTTTAGACAAGAGGAATTCCTACACGGCACTTAATCTTAACAAAAGATTTCAATTGGACTAGATTGAAGCACGGAACATATAAATTATTCCTTATGTGCTCGCTCGTACTCAAAATGTCTTTACTGGCTTGCCAAACACTAAATTATCGACATGGGATGTTATCATGGCAAGATTGGTCTGCTGCCATCAGACAGTAGATGATAGTTGAAAGAAGATCAAAGCCTGGTCTGTTTGTCCCTGTGGAATATCTGTTATTATTTGTATTTAAAACTATTTCTCATTTAGGCGATAAACCTGGTGAACTGTCGTCTATATTGTGTTTCTAAACTGCCTAGTTCAAATGTGATAGTTCCGTCTGGACATACATCACATCATGATCATGAGGATAGGGCATTGAGCTTGCATCTCTTTTTTCAAGGGTGTCCGAGTAACCTATTCTGATTGGCCAAAGAGTTCCCTACCAACCTTACACGACCTAAGTTACTTAAATACTACAGTGTGCTACTGCGAGTATGCACAGAACGGGCTTATTGATGATCCAAGGATTGTATTACCCACCTACGGTGGCAAATTGACCCCGCAGTATTGTAACATACCCCAAACTCAAAATATAAGATGAAAATAGCTCCTATTCGATTTATTTAACATACCTGCCCTTATCGGTAATGGGGTTCGGATTGGAGAACCCCCTCCCAGGTCTGTCGTTAGAGTAGGGTCAATAGGGCTAGGCTCCAGCAAGTGAGAACAAAGCCCCAATAAAGCCTCCACCAGTTCAGCATAGACTGATTAATTTGCAGTGTCTTTGTTCAAAACCAGAAGGGTTTTTGGTTAATCTGAGTCTAAACTGAAGTCCAGCACCAATTTACCCCTGGCGACAAGGCTGTCCCTTCCTCTCCCATGAGATCCGAGTGCTGTATAAATCGTTCACGTTAAAATATATCCATCAGTTGGAAGGTACGGAAACATTCGACATAATCCTGCATAAACTCATTTTAAAGTTTCGGTATATTGAATAATGAGACAGGACTATTTTATACGCCCGATTCTACACGCAAGGACGCAGAATAGAAAATTTCAATTAAGTTTATTGTGTTATTTCCATTGAATGTAGACAGAGTAGTTTGTATAATTTATTTGTTTATTTAAAATACCGGATGTAGTGAAAGAAAAACACAAATGACTTTTGTGAAAATATTCAGAACTAATGTTTCAAGTTTTAGCCCAGAGGCTCAAGAGATGCAATGATGTTTTTTTATCATGCAAAGACAGGAAATTGCAATTCTTACCGTTTAAAGTACAGATATGGAGTATTTTGGTCAGCTGGAGAACAGAGCAAGCTAACTCTTTCAGGGACACCAGATGCCAGCGTAATATGGCCAAACCAAATTTAGTATATCAACCAATTGCTATAATTGTGCATTTATGATGCTTAATGATGTTATTAACACTTCATGTCACAAATTCTGAGGATGTAGAGAATCGTAACAAATTTTCACAGATTATCCCTAACAATTGGTTAACAGATTATACATCTCTAATAATGGGTTACCGTCACAGATTATCCCACCCCCCTAACAGTGGGTTAACGTCACAGATTATTTCTCTCTAACAGAAAGTTAACGTCACAGATTATCTGTTTCTAACAGTGGGTCACCGTCACAGATTATCCCTCTCTAACAATGGGTAAACATCACAGATTATCTCTTTATAAAAGTGGTTAACGTCACAGATTATCCCCCATCTAACAATTGGCTAACATCACAGATTATCTCTCTAACAGTGGGTTAACGTCACAGATTATCCCCTTCTAACAATGGGTTAACATCACAGATTATCTCTCTCTAACAGTGAGTTACCGTCACAGATTATCCCCCTCTAACAATGGGTTAACATCACAGATTATCTCTCTATAGCGTCACAGATTATCTCTCTCTAACAGTGGGTAAATGTCACAGATTATCTCTATCTAACAGTGGGTAAATGTCACAGATTATCCCCCTCTAACAATGGGTTTACATCACAGATTATCTCTATATAACAGTGGGTTAACGTCACAGATTATCTGTCTCTAACAGTCGGTTGCCGTCACAGATTATCTGTCTCTAATAGTGGGTTGCCGTCACAGATTTTCTCTCTTTAACAATTGGTTACCGTCACAGATTATCTGTCTCTAACAGTGGCTTAACGTCACAGATTATCTCTCTCTAACAGTGGGTTAACGTCACAGAATATCCCCCTCTAACAATGGGTTAACGTCACAGATTATCTCTCTCTTACAGTGGGTTAAAGTCACAGATTATCTCTCTCTAACAGTGGGTTAACGTAACAGATTATCTATCTCTAACAGTGGGTTAACGTCACAGATTATCTCTCTCTAACAGTGGGTTAACGTCACAGATTATCTCTCTAACAGAAGGTTAACGGCACAGATTATCTGTTTCTAACAGTGGGTTGCCGTCACAGATTATCTCTCTCTAACAGCGGGTTACCGTTACAGATTATCTCTCTCTAACAGTGGGTTAACGTCACAGATTATCTCTCTCTAACAATGGGTGAACGTCACAGATTATCTCTCTCTAACAGTAGGTTAACATCACAGATTATCTTTCTCTAACAGATGTTTAACGTAACAGATTATCTCTCTCTAACAATGAGTTAACGTCACAGATTATTTCTCCGTAACAGAAGGTTAACGTCACAGATTATCTCTCTCTAACAGTGGGTTGCTGTCACAGATTATCTCTCTCTAACAGTTGGTTAACATCACAGATTATCTCTCTATAACGTCACAGATTATCTCTCTCTAACAGTGGGTTAACGTCACAAGATTATCTCTCTATAACGTAACAGATTATCTCTATCTAACAGTGGGTTAACATCACAGATTATCTCTCTATAACGTCACAGATTATCTCTCTCTAACAGTGGGTTAACGTCACAGATTATCCCCCTCTAACAATGGGTTAACGTAACAGATTATCTCTTTCTAACAATGGGTTAACATCACAGATTATCTTTCTCTAACAGATGTTTAACGTAACAGATTATCTCTCTCTAACAGTGGGTTAACGTCACAGATTATCTGTCTTTAACAGTGGGTTAACGTCACAGATTATTTCTCTTTAACAGAAGGTTAACGTCACAGATTATCTGTCTCTAACAGTGGGTAGCCGTCACATATTATCTCTCTCTAACAGAGGGTTACCGTCACAGATTATCTCTCTCTAACAGTGAGTTAACGTCACAGATTATCTCTCTATAATCTGTGGGTTAACGTCACAGATTATATTTATCTCTTACGGTTTAAGTCACAGAGAGGGCAGACTATGACAAATTGAGACAAGTTGATGAGATTAATATTGATATTTCTTCATCGAATTATACAGGTGAGCTGACAAGAATTGCAAACACAATTATTCCAAACACAATTGTAACTATTAGACCTAGATATATATTTGGATGATGAACACAATCAGAAACATGGGTAGGAAAAAGAACAGAGTTCATAAAAACAAAATCTGTCAGATCGAAATCAACCAATTAACGTAAAGAGACCAAAAGAGTAAAAGGACATAACGTCCATTCCAAAATTTACCGAGAGATTATTCAAATTGTGTTGTGTATGTACTGCATGCTATTACTGCACAATTATAATCGCGGGATCATCAATTTGTCTGAACACCTTCCTGCATTTATTGTATAGTTTTTTTATATGGGAAAATAAAAAGATGGGCTTCTGAGCTTCCTTGGTTTCAAGTCTTAAAAGGACATATTCGGGTCTTGATTATATGTAAATAGTCTTCTATTTCTATAATATCTATATATGGCAGAGTCTTAAGAAATAACGACTCGTCATTTGAACACTCAAACGCTAATCATTGCAGACACAAAATTCCCGTTTCTAAGACTAAAGTAAAATTGATCAAACGAATGGCCGATGTTAAATCTTCATACAAACTTGATCTACATTACAAAATACTATAGTCACTACTTGATCAAGACTTCAGTATTTTTGTATAACTAGATAACGGTCATTTTTAAAAGTTTTGCCAATTACAAAGTTTAAGCCCGATCTGGTTTAGAAAATCTACAGAGAGATATTGATATAAATTTTTTAAAAGTTTAATTCTAGACCACAATATTCATTGAAAATAACTTCAGGATACATGATACCAAACGAAATGTTATTAATTTGATATTCCCCTCGGAAAGTCCACAAAGCTAACAAAAAGTCAAAATAAAGTTTTATTTACCTCGTTTCCTTTAAAGTGCAGTTTTTCTAACGATGGATCGAATAATAAGGCTTTAGGATCTATGTTAATTGGTGACTGATTCTTTCCTTTGTTACAAAATAACCAATCTGGATTTATCAACCCCCAATATTCAGGACCTGCAAGATACAAGATATAGTATTAGTTTCTATAAGGTATTATGGATGTAGCATTATTGTATCTCTTTCATCTGTAAGACCAATCTGATAAACCTAGATCTACCTAAAGCTAGCTATCCATCCAGCCATAGGATAGCGTGGAAAAAGGGTCACATGGCATATGATATGATATTGAGTATTGCTAGCTACATAAGTAATTTTTCACGTATATTCTGTACGCATTACTTATATTTGGATGGCTATGGCAGGGAATGTGGATGGCTAGCTTGAGGATAAAAGTTACGTGCATCACCACGTTTTCCCATCATCTTGCAAACTGGATGATAATGATAATGTATCTCTTGAAATGATACAATATATAAAAGGACAAGACAGTTTTCTTTATAAAAATGACAATACACGGGTGATTTGGAATGTCTAGTATATAGGCCTTTGTGGTATTAAGCTAACTCAGATTTCATAGCAATATATTCTTCGATATTTTTAAATGCCTTGCGTCGGTTTCTACGAGCTTAAAACCTTTTCTTATGATACTTAAATTACCTCGGAGATGTAAAAAGGTTAAAATCTTGCCAGAAAATCAAAACCCATTAGAGGATCTTTCTACGTGACTTTAACTAAATTTCTTTAATGTTTCATAATTCAATTTATTGATCAACAAGAAACATATTTCGAAAATCTTTTTTTTTTTCGCCTGAAGTACCTACTCAAGGTAGTGATTGGTAGCTATTGCTGTTGCCTGTTTCTAGTACTAGATTCCCCGAACTTTTTATTGTTCCATTCTTTCAAAGTCTTACCGCTGGCAATGCTCTTAATGACACATTAGAATACTTTCTGATTATATTTTGTATCAATAAATGCAATCAATTTAGAATATCTGAAAATCTGAATATCTGATCAGTTGTGGCTTTTATGACCAAGCTTTTACATCCATCGTACCCTTTTTAATCCATCTTCAAAACAATCTATATAGCTCATACAATTACCACGACATAGTTTTTTTTTTATCTAGCTCTTATAATGACCATGACATAACCTGGTATCTGGCTCATACAGTTACCACGACATAACCTGGTATCTAGCTCATACAGTTACCACGACATAACCTGATATCTAGCTCATACGATTACCACGACATAACCTGATATCTAGCTCATACAGTTACCACGACATAACCTGATATCTAGCCCATACGATTACCACGACATAACCTGATATCTAGCTCATACGATTCCACGACATATTTTTTTTAAATCAAGCTCATACAGTTAACACGACATTGTCTTTATCTAGCTCATATAATAACCATGACATAACCTGGCATCGATTATACAGTTACCACGACATAGCCTGGTATCTAGCTCATACAGTTACCACGACATAAGCTGATATCTAGCTCATACAGTTACCACAACATAACCTCGTATCAAGCTCATACAGTTAACACGACATTGTCTTTATCTAGCTCATATAATAACCATGACATAACCTGGCATCGATCATACAGTTACCACGACATAGCCTGGTATCTAGCTCATACAGTTACCACGACATAACCTGATATCTAGCTCATACAGTTACCACGACATAACCTCGTATCAAGCTCATACAGTTACCACGACAAAGCATGGTATCTAGCTCATTATAGACCATGACATAACCTGGTATCTAGCTCATACAGTTACCACGACATAACCTCGTATCAAGCTCATACAGTTACCACGACAAAGCATGGTATCAAGCTCATTACAGTTACCATGACAAAGCCTGGTATCTAGCTCATACAGTTACCACGACATAACCTCGTATCAAGCTCATACAGTTACCACGACAAAGCATGGTATCTAGCTCATTACAGACCATGACATAACCTGGTATCTAGCTCATACAGTTTACCACGACATAGCCTGGTATCTAGCTCATACAGTTACCATGATATAACCTGATATCTAGCTCATACAGTTACCACGACATAACCTGGTATCTAGCTCATACAGTTACCATGACATAGTTTTTTTTTTATCTAGCTTTTATAGTAAGACGACATTGTCTTTACCTAGCTCATATAATAACCATAACATAACCTCGTATCTAGCTCATATAATGAAAATGACACAACCTCGTATCTAGCTCATACAGTTACCACAACACTGTATCTGGGTACTGGGTACGAGAGATGCCTGTGCCACACTTCGTTCGTTTAGGCTTCTGCGACAGTCTAATATTCGGTTTACCAGACACCCAGATAAATCGACTGCAAAAAATAAAAACTCAAGCCGCATATAATTTACTAGTATCTCGCTTATATAGTTTCCACATGTCCTAGTATCTAGCTTATATAGTTGCCACGACATGTCCTAGTATCTAGCTTATATAGTTACCACGGCATGGTCTGGTATCTAGCTAATATAGTTGCCACGACATGTTCTGACATCTAGCTAATATAGTTGCCAAGTCATGTCCTAGTATCTAGCTTATATAGTTACCACGGCATGGTCTGGTATCTAGCTAATATAGTTTCCTCGACATGTCCTAGTATCTAGCTTATATAGTTACCACGGCATGGTCTGGTATCTAGCTAATATAGTTGCCACGACATGTCCTAGTATCTAGCTTATATAGTTACCACGGCATGTCCTAGTATCTAGCTTATATAGTTACCACGGCATGGTCTGGTATCTAGCTAATATAGTTGCCACGACATGTCCTAGTATCTAGCTTATATAGTTGCCACGACATGTCCTAGTATCTAGCTTATATAGTTACCACGGCATGGTCTGGTTTCTAGCTAATATAGTTTCCACGACATGTCCTAGTATCTAGCTTATATAGTTACCACGGCATGGTCTGGTATCTAGCTAATATAGTTGCCACGACATGTCCTAGTATCTAGCTTATATAGTTACCACGGCATGGTCTGGTATCTAGCTAATATAGTTGCCACGACATGTCCTAGTATCTAGCTTATATAGTTACCACGGCATGTTCTGGTATCTAGCTAACATAGTTACCACGATATGTCCTAGTATCTAGCTTATATCGTTGCCACGACATGTCCTAGTGTATAGCTTATAGTTGCCACGACATGTCTTATTATCTAGCTTATATAGTTGCCACGACATGTACTATTATCTAGCTTATAGTTGCCACGACATGTCCTAGTATCTAGCTTATATAGTTGCTACGACATGCCCTAATATGTAGCTTATAATTGCCACGACATGCTGGTTGGTTGGTAGATGACAAGTTAAAGTCCCTTCCACCGGATGCTGATATCGCAAACTAGATAGTTGTTGGTAGTCGTAGTAGTTCGTTGTTGGATTGGTTCAAATTGGATGATTCTGTGTTTGGTTGTTGATAATTCGTTAGATAAGGTCGGGTCGAATGACATGGCGGTGAAACGCGGATGGTGTGGCATGGGTTACTCGATCTCCTTCATTCTTCCAAACTCATTCTGATCATGGTAATTCTTGTTGATTGGTAGTCGAAGCCACGACATGTCTTAATATCTAGCTTATATAGTTACCTCGGCATAGTCTTGTATCTAGCTTACATATAGCTACCATGCCATAGCCTTTCAACTTTACTCTCATCATTGACATAAAGTCAATAAGATGTGTAATAGTATTTTATGAATACATGTATTGAGTACTGACTCTCGGACTAAATCATACATGCATGATTCATCTATTGATTCACCCCATGCAATACTTTATCTTGCTTTACGTAATCCAACGTTAATCCGCTCTAATAAATAATGTATTGAAATCAAACCTTAGTTAAACCGCGGTAATCTCCCGTTCTTTTCATATTTAATTTTGAAATAATACACCTCTGGCGTTTCGAATTCCTTACATTTCTCTGCCCCCACTGCATATATGGCTTTGGGTTACAAAGTATAATACACTTATGGTATTAACCTTTGTTTAAGTTGAAAGAAGCGACATTTAATCATTTAAATCACAATATAGTCCACAGCTAAGTCATGACAATTTGAATAAATGATAACTAACAATACGACACAATCAATGTCGTTGAAATACAATTAATGCATTCATTGGTCTGAAACTATTATAGATGGTAACAATTTCGTGTTTTGTGGTCATTGTTAATAATTATATCACAATGAACTAAGCTTATACAAGAGACCATACATCAGATTATACATTACAAACCCATCCCCAGCTGTACGCTTTCAATGTAAAAATATAATGCATAAAGAAGATTGTTGATTCTGGAAACATGGCTTAACTTAAATAAATAAATTCCACAAGGGAGTAGACTAATAATGCATTAAAGTCTGAATAATATTTACATTTTAATTAACTCATTATATAAACTAAGTATTAGTTAAATTCCCTTTGATTAATCAACCGAAACATCCGACTGATGGATATTGTATTTCCTTTGTTCAGTGCTCAACTACCATAGGGACTGGTTGAACCAAGTCCACGGGCCTCACCCATAAGAGGGCCCCCAAAATGCACGAGAGTATATTATGTTAAAAACAGTTCCCAATAGAGGGGCGACAACCCACTTAAGTCCACGGGCCCCCACTCACCAAGTTGAGACACTGTCTTTACTGTATGTTTCATATCATTATAGGTACTAGTTTTGAACGGTTATTGTCAGTTAGGCAGCCTCGAGGAGTGGATGTAAATTATAGAACTATAAAGACGATATAATGCGTTAATAAGTTCAAATGTCAATGTTGTACGATAAAGTGTCAATATAATACAATAAAGTGTCAATATAATACGATAAAGCGTCAAAGTACGATTAAGTGTGAAGATAAAATAAAGGGTAGACTCAATATTGCAGACATATCAAAACATACTAATGCGTCAATTTGAAACAGAATTTAAATTAATCGAAAAAAATAAATATATATGTGTGAGATGATGATGATACTAAAATAACTCTATACTTTCTTAAAAAAACAACGACTATCTCATTTGTTTTACAAATTAAAGAACATGGACATTTGATGTTATTTTAGA